ATCCAAAATGAAGCTCTGAACTGGGGTCTGTCTGTGTTGGTAAAAATCTCCTGCCCACGAGCCTCATGGCCCAGGCCTGTAATAAAACAGCCTCGGGGGCCTCCCCTCCAGTGCGCAAGCTTTGAGGACGGCACCGTCTTCCTAATAGTCCAGATTCAACACACACAAAAATGCTACTTAACATTGTTCACATTTGATTTGAGGCAAATTCAAAACAGTTCCGTTGGCTGGGTGCCAGTTTGAAAATCAACCCCACGCTGCAGGGCTGAGTCATCCAGCTCCCAGCACAGATGTGGTCCTTCGACGCACGCCAGCGCCGCCTGGGACTTCTCAGCTCGATGGCACCGCAAAAGCAATAAGAAGGCCCTTGATGGGGGACTTTGAACTTGAGCTTGAATCTCTCCTCAGGCTGGCAGTGTGTGCCCCCGTCCTCTCTTGATGCTGGGCAGCGAGGGTGAGGGGCAGGTGTCAGCTGTACCCTGGCTCCATGTGGACGAGCGCAGGGCCTGGTGGTGTCCGTATGCTCGGTGCATCTGCCTTTTAAACTCCGTTCATCTTTTCTGACCTTCCTGTTAGGAAGCACTCTCTCTACACAGCCATTTGGTACCTCAGGAAACAAGATCCAGTATGAGAGAGTGGTCTCGAAGAATCATTGGATGAAGTGATATGCAAAACACAACCCCCAACATGTGGATCTGTGTACCTAGGAGAAAGGCCGAGCAGGGCATACATCGTCGGCCATGTAAGAGAAAGTGCTTCAGAGATCCGTGGAGCAGAATGGCAGCTGTGATTGATAATACAGTGTACATTTTAAAGTTGCCAAGAGGCTGGGTGTGGTGGTACATGCCTGCCCTCCCAGCACTTGGCAGGTGAAGGCAGGAGGATCGGGAGTTCAAAGCCAGCCTCTGCTGCATAGCCAGCCTGGATTATATGAAACCCAATCTTACCACAGAGCAAAAGGAGGACCCCCACCCCTCCCTCACACACATGCACATGGCCTCAGCTCGCCAGGACTGTGGGCACATGACTCATCTTCGCTTTCATCTATGGCTGGGTCACTGCTTTCCCCCACACACTTCCACCAGCAGCTACTGCAAGAACATGCATTCATCCAGCGGGATGCTAAGTTTCCTTGGCTTGTGCTGGGCTGGTTCGTTCAGGAGCTGCTATGGGAACAAGTGAAGGATGGTTTTCAAAAACTCTCCCTCCTCTGATCCCATTTTGAAGTAGCTGAGTGAGCAAGGCAAGGGCCGGCTGGATTAATAACCCCACGTGCCCTTGCCTGCAGCTTGCTGGTCCTGTCAGCTAATGGGAAAGTGTATGACGGGGCCGCATTAGTCTGCAGCATGACCTTATGCATCACCCATGCTGTAAAGCCCTTGCGTGCTGCGCATAAGCGCACCCCATCCCAGACCTGTTAGTCCCTGGGGTGGCACAGGCAGTAGAAGTGCTGGTCCCCGGGAGTGGAGCCTCCTTCCCACCACGGCCACAGGAGAGTTCCATCTAGTCGTGGGTCAGAGGTGGCCTTGCCGCCCCAGGCCACCCACGAGACCTCTCCTTTATTGGGAATGACAACCGTAGAACGATAATCTCTCTGCGGTGAGGACAATAAGGAGTTTGAAACATGGTCTGAGAAGATGGATTGGGTTTTGTGAGACCCTTGTCACTCCCTGTTGGGAGAAGGGGGTTGAGTGGCCACACATTGCCCTTCTCAGACCTGCAAGGCGAACCATGGAGACAGGAGGGCCCTGGACACAGTGAGTGAAGGGGGTTCTGTTCTCATACAAGGAAGACTTTTTTTTTTAAACCTAGCTATTCCTCCTTTCATGGCCCCATGCCTGTGGCTGTTGGGCTACCCTTGGGTAGCAGGGGGTCAGTATCCCATATTTGGCTGCCCCTGCTTGTTTTGGGTTTGCCCTTTCACCTATTTCTGGCTCATCTGTTGGAGTCTATAGCTGGACCCTCAGTGCCGTCCTCTGCTGAGTCCAAAAATCATTATTTCACGGTACCTGTATGAGGTCTGGTACTTGGTGGAGGCCATCCAATGAACCTTTAGAAAGGGTGTGGGAGGTGGGAGGCGAGCACACCCCTCATTAATCGGAGCATCAAGCCACTATTCTAGACTCCCACGGCTCTTAAGAAGTGGGCTGCAGCGACATGCGTGTGGCTTTGAAGCTAGGGAGTGCCCTGCTCTGCCAACTGCAACAGGCCTCCCCATCAGCCCGAGGGCTTCTTTCCAATCCCAGAGGCATTCATGGCTTCTGAAAAGGGGAGGGTGATACCCGTTTTGTACATGTGGAAGGGAGGATCATGAGTGTTTACATGAGTGTGACGGTCAGAGGTCAATGCTGGGTGCCATCCTCAGTTGCAGCTCATGGTGAAACCTGACTCCCACCAAACATGGCACACTCAGTGGCTCACACACCTCCTACATTACTACTGAAGATGCTTTGCAGGTGAAGAAACAAAGGCTTGCTAAGGCTGAACAGTGTGCCCAGTCAACGTGGGCATATGTCAACTTGTGGGGTTTTTTTGTTGTTGTTGTTTGTTTGTTTGTTTTTTGTTTTTTCTGGAAAAGAAAAACAGTGAAACTCTGCATCTGGACCGAGACAATGGCTTATGCAAAAGGCCCTGAGGTCAGAAATGAGTTTGGTGTGTTGAGTCTGCAGGAGGAATCAAAAGCCTGTCAGGGTGGAGGGAGAAGGCAGGGCTGGGCTGAGGTTGGGTTTGGAGAAATTCAGGCGGCAGCTAAGTTGGGACTTTAGTCTGAGGCCACAGGAAGTCCTCAGAGGGTTGTAAGCTGGGGAGTGCCCGGATCTGATTTGCATTTTTAAAAGATTACTCAACTACTCAACTACTCTCCGAAAGACTAGGAGAGGCGAGCGGTGCATTGACAGACACTCAAATGAGAGGCAGCGCTATGGCGGCTTGGTTTGGAGTGCCAACAAGGGTGGGGACGGAGTGGCTGGGCTTGATTAGCACATGTTGCCCAGATGTTGCCCATCTGTCCTTCGCTGGGTAGTTCTGCTCTTGTCACGGGAAGAGGAAGCAGCCTGGCACTAACACACACTGCCAGCCCGCCAGCCTTTCTTCTGGCACCGTGGGCCGTGTTTACCACCTCTCATGAACCAGGGAAGCCAATGAGGAAACACGCTTATCTTGATCCCCACGCAAAGCCCTCACAACAAGGAACAGTTTTCTTGCAGTGCGGCCTTCCTTCTGTTTGATCTGTGCTTTGCCTTGCATTTCACCTTTCCTAGAGGCTGCCCCTCCCGTCAGTGCTGTGGGTGTCAGCCTGGCAGGCAGGCCATCCTTCAGCCGGGCTCCTGTGCCCAGCCTGTCTCTGTGTGGCTTCTAGCAGGGGCACTAGGGCCTACACCAGTCAAGAGGATGCTCTGTTTGTTCACAGCCTTCCCTGGGTGTGTCTCCTGCATGCATGAGGATTCTCAGGGCTGTATATTGACCCGGGTATGACTGGCTCACAGCGTGTCTATTGTCACATTTGTGTGTATGTTTATTGGCTGCAGCTCCAAAGCTCCTAATGACAGTGACACTAAGTTGGGGGCGGCTGGTGGAGGTGTGGACATCCTTCAAGAGTCTTTAGATATTCCACGGGCTGACCTTTTGTCTGCCTAGCATGACAAGGATGTTCTTCGGGTCCTTGGGTGATTTTTGACTTGATCGGCTGCTCTGGTTTCTTGCTCTTTCTTTTTTGAAAGTATAAAATCAATCTGTGCCAATTGGGACAGTATCATGTGAAAAGTGAGTTCTGTCTGTAGACCTTCTCGGGGACCTTGATGGCCTCTGATGACAAGGGCTGTGTTCGTGGTCTTCAGGTCATTTCTACCCTCCCCCTTCCTCCTCCCTTACCTTCCTCTTTGGGACAGGGTTTCTCTATGTAGCCCTGGCTGTCCTGAAATTCTATAGATCAAGCTGGCTTCGAACTCAGAGATCCACTTGCCTCTGCCTCCCGAGTGCTGGGATCAAAGGCGTGAGCCACCACCACCTGGCTTCTCTCTCTTTACCGATAAATGCTGGAGTCGTGCTTTTCGCCATGCTTGTTTTCATGTTGTTCTGTTCTTCTTTAATACTTTATTTTTATTCTCGTGTGTTACATGCACTAATTAGTTTCATTATGGCCTCTTCATACCTATACAGTGTATTTTTTTCGTGTCCACCCTCGTTACTTCCTCCCACTCTTCTTTCCATTTAGTCCCTCTCCGGCTTTCATGTCTCCTCATTTATTTATTTGTTTTGGTGACCCAGTTGGCTTTCTCAGTGCTGTTTACATGGAGCATGGGCACCTTGCAAGCAGCTGTACCACTGAAGAAATGTCTCTCTGTGCACAACTACCATTAACTTCCTGCCGATACTCAAAGAGGGATGTGACCTCATGAGTCTCTCCCCCATAGCTGCTGTTACTTGGTAAAGGATCATGAAGGTGGCTGGGGGGAGGGGCTTCAGGTTGTTTTCTGCCCTCACTTCCGGGACCCTTTGCCAGTGGTTAAGTACAGTTTTTCCACAAATGTAGTTCTGATCTATATTGTTTCTTGCAGCTGCTTGAAAGTCCAATATGTGTGTGTACTTTTATTTCATGTGTGCGAGATCTTGCCTGGGTGTATGTCTGTGTGCCACATATGTACCTGGTGCCTGTGTACGCTAGGAGAGGGTGTGGGATCCCCTGGAACTGGAGTTACAGATAGTTGTGAGCCTCTGTGTGGTGCTGGGAATCGGACCTGAGTCCTCTGCAAGAGCATTTGATACCCTTAACCGCTGAGCCCTCTCCCTGGCCCCTTAGCATCCATTTTAGAAGAGATCCCTGTCACTTATTTGAACAGTCTGTTCTGGTTGGACAGCAAGACTGCTTCTGGTCATGCATCCGCCCAGGCCATGTGGCAACCCTACACTCCGTCTCTGCCCACAAGCTACTCCGATCTCCTCTGGTGGTCAGACTAAAGCAGTCAAACCCTGCTTATTGAAGACTTTGTCTCCTCCCTCAGCTCCACGGTTACATGGAGAACAAGCCCCTGGGCCTTCAGATCTTCATTGGGACTGCGGATGAGAGGATCCTTAAGCCGCATGCCTTCTACCAAGTACACAGGATCACGGGGAAAACCGTTACCACCACCAGCTATGAGAAGATTGTGGGCAATACCAAAGTTCTGGAGATCCCCTTGGAGCCAAAGAACAACATGAGGGCCACGTAAGGCTGCGCAGGATCTGGGGCTTCTTGGGAAAGCGAGCAGGACCTGAATGACAGGGTTGAGGGGATCTCTATGTGGGAGCCACAGCAGCCGGTGCTGGCACTGCCCCATCTTGGAGCGACCCATCTGATTTTTCTGTTCAGGGAGTAGTATATGAAAGCCTGCCATGGTGGCACATACCTGTAATCCTAGCACTTGGGAGTTATGGATGGAGGCAGGAAGATCTGGAGTTCAAACTCTCTTTAGCTACATATGGAGTCCCAGGCCTTCCTGGGATACCTGAGACCCAGTCTCAAGAAATAAAGTGAAAAGATCCATGGGACTTAAAGAAAATTCTGAGTGACAACACAGATGGTCACCCATGTAGCATTTGTACCTGGAGCTAAAGCTGGCCACATGTCACACACGCGTGTCGGCACCAAAGAACCTTTTAGAAGGAAACAAACTCAGGCTTATAGAAAGGCCGTGGGAGGGAGGATACAAGAACTTTAGGGCCCTGGCTGTGCTGTCCCGATCGCTAACAGGGTCTACATTTGCCCTCTCTCTTCTCTGTCTCATGCCATAGCCCCGAGTCCTTGAGAAATGGTTGATCATACCCTTGGCTTTTTACAGACCTCGGTGGGTGTTTCCAAAGAGCAAGGGAGCTTTCCTGTTTATTAAATTCAAGAGGCTGAGATACTCTGACATTTGTGGAATAGACCTGGCCGGTTCTCCCAGCTGCCTGGTTGAGTTTTTCTGGTGCTTTTGAGAATAGAAACATTGATGTGAAAATTTTCCCTAGAGAGACAATCTCCACTCAGGAGATTATCTAAGTACTCCGTAAAAAATTTCTCTGTTTTCGTTTTCTTTTTCTCCTTCCTTCCTTCCTTCCTTCCTTCCTTCCTTCCTTCCTTCCTTCCTTCCTTCCTTCCTATCTTCCTTCCTTTCTTCCTTCCACATCTTGGTATACCCTTCTGGTCGTAATACCCAGGGAGATATTGCAGTTTCCCACTGTGGCTGGCGGAGATGACAGTTGGCCACCTTTGGCGGGCTTGTGGGTGGCCTCTTCTGCTCAGTGAGACGGTTCTTATAAGCTGGGTTTTCCCCTGTGCAGCATCGACTGTGCGGGCATCCTGAAGCTCCGAAACGCCGACATCGAGCTGCGGAAGGGCGAGACCGACATTGGCAGGAAGAACACTCGCGTGCGCCTGGTGTTCCGCGTGCACGTCCCGGAGCCCAGCGGGCGCATCATCTCCCTGCAGGCGGCGTCCAACCCCATCGAGTGCTGTAAGTCAGGCCGCAGGGCTGGGTCTTTCTGGGGGAAAGGGCCACACATGAGTGTCCCCCCGGGCAGGTGGCCTGCAGGAATCCATGGGACACACGAGGACAGACACTGCACCCAGGGAGGTTTTGATCTCTGCTTCAGTTTGCTTGTGGCGACTGTGGCCTTGTGGGAAATAAAAAACCAAGACAGCTGATGGCAGCTAAGAGGAGTTGGTGGCTTTATTTAGAAGATGTGAAAAGTCTAAGTGTTGGTTTGGTCTTCAGAAGTGTGGACACACTGACAGTAAGTTACTGGAGCACACACACACCCTTCTTTCTTTTCATCCTCTACTCAACGAGATTCATGATGGTGTGGCTCTGGCTTTGAGCTGTGGCTCTGCAGATGCTGTGGAAAACACCTGACCATGCATCATGACAACTCTGGGTCGCTGGCTGGGACCCTTGTACCCATTTCACAGGTTGGAAGACTGAGGACCCAGTGCCTGTACCCAGAAGGGGTGGGGCTGGGACTGGAAGCTCAGAACCTTGCAGACAGTAGTTGGTGCTCCTCCCTGGCCTTCCGCCTGTCCCTGCCTACTGACTGAGGTCTGTCTAGGGTCAAGGTCAGGGGTCATTCCAAGTGTTGGGATGTTCACAGAGCAATAAGACTCTCTGTGCCCGAGAAGCTTATAGTCCAGTGAGGATGAAGTCCCCATCCCCAAAGATGGATATAAAGTTAGAGAAAATTTTCAGAGCCTGGCACAGAAGAAAAGTTCTAGGGAAAGACGCTGAGCAGAACACATAGCTGGATTCTGCCAGGCTTCAAGAGCAGTTGCTGTGAGCATCTAGGATTTTCAGCAGGGTTTTGCTAGGATGCATGAAGAAGCTTATCTTTGCTCAGGTCGCACATATGCATGTGTGTATACATGTAAGCCGTCCTGGGGATTGAACCCAGGACGTCATGCATGCCAGGCAAGTGCTCTGCCACCAAGCTTCCTCTCCCACACCCTTACAGACTTTTTCATTTTTAATGAAGAGGGGGTCTTGCTGAGTTTCTCAGGCTAGATTTGAACTCTCAATCCTCTTGCCGCAGCCTCCTGAGCAGCTGGGATTATAGGCCTATGCCTGGGGCCCAGATATCTGTTACGTTTGTTTTTTTTTTTTTCTTGAAAGTTCAGTCATTCTTTTAAAAGAAATAAAGAAAAGCAAAGTAAACATTGTTTCAGAGATTTAAAAAAAACTTTATTCTTTCAGTCTTTCTTTAAGGAACTGTTATGTTATTATCATGTTCCGCGTTACATTGCTTTCAAGATCATCTCCTTCACAGCTCCCTTTGCATTTGTACATCAGTTTCCTGCGGTGGCCAGGGAGATGGAGGTGGAAGTAAGAGACGTGGCTGAGGTGGGGCAGACAGTAGGGTGCAGAGAAGACTGGGGCCCAGTCTCTGTCCTTCTAGGAGGCTGCTGCGAGCTGCTGTGAGCTCACAGGGAAACGTGGTCTATACGGCCAAGACCGATCTTAAAAGATTGAACAAGAACAGAGGAAAAAAAAAAATCTTGGCTTAAAAATGACGGTCGGGGAAGGACACGGCTCAGATGGAGAGTCTGTCCCTAGCGTGCGGAAAAGCGGCAGTAAATTCAAGATACTCAGAGGGCCAGGCAGAACCCGGGAGAGACTCCTGTTTATCGAGCTTTGATTGAACAGAGAGTGCAGGACTATGTGCCGTAATGCAGTACAGAAGAACCGACTCTCGGACTGGAAGCGAGGACGGGGGGGGGGGGGGGGGTCACTCGCAGTACTAGAAACCAGGGAAGGGCCAGCAGAAGCTTGCAGAGCTTACCCGGGAAAGCTGGGGCCCCAGTGAGTCCGTGTTCAGATTTGGGAAACACGAGCCACCACCAGGGACGGAAGGACAAAGGGCGGTAGCCACCCCTCCTCACCCTTGTTCTCTGGCCCTGTCCTGTTTGATTTCGCATGTCTCAGGATTGTTCTAGAAGGAAATGCAGGCTCTTCCTCCGCCATCTTTGGAGGTGGTGGGCCGACAGGGCTCCTCTCTGGGGCAGGCAGCGCCCCCTTCAGGGTGGGACTGTGGTCAGCTGCAGGGTAGGGGGCAGAGGATGTGTGTCCCTCCCCTTCCCTGAGCCGCTAAGGTCTTGAGGAGCCTCCGAGAGCCGCGTGTGCCTCCAGCAAGGTTGCTAAGGCATTCAGAACCTCTTTGAACCTTGTGATCTGTTGGTTCCCCACCGGTTTCAGCCACCTCATCTTCCTCCTTCTGATAGATAAGGGGACCCAACCTTTCTTGGTAAAGTGATTCACCATTTTACTCAGTAGTAACAAAGCTGGATTCCCAAACTTTCTAGTTCTGTGAAATATCCTCTTGTGGCTTCTATAACACTGTTTTTCCGGTGCAGCCACCCTTAGCTGCTGGCCAGCCACAGTCCCTCTCTTCTAGTCCTGTTGGTTCTTATTGCCCTCCTTGTTCTATTCTAGACCCAGGTAAGGATGCTTCGTAAGGGCCTGTTTGGCCGATTGGCTTGGTTTGTGCCTGTAGGCAGATAATGAATACATATTGACAATTAGTGACTCACACCTGTGGACACAGAAGGTGGAGGATAAATATTTATTGTCTAATTGACTTCACACTGTTGGGGAGGATGAGCTGGTAAGAAAAACAGAGTGGGCTGGCCCGTATTTACAAGGCTGACTTGTTTGTTTTGGAAAGGCGCCTCCAATGCCCCAGCTTGGGCAACGAGGACATGGTCTCAGATTCTGATTAAAAAAAAAAAATATATATATATATATATATATGTGTGTGTGTGTGTGTGTGTGTGTGTGTGTGTGTGTGTGTGAGAGCATGTGCAGAGGTGCCACTGTTTGTCGGTGGGCTTGTTGCCTGTTGTGGCTTTTTCTGGCTCATCTCAGCCTTAGGGGCTATAGCTCTCCACTGCACGGCCTGGCGCCCATGTTTCTCGGCCTCCAAGCCTTTCCCAGGCTTCTGCTCAGTGGTCCCAGCTGCACATTGACTGCTGCGGTAGGGAGGGCGTGGCTTCACCCTGGGTTAGCCCCTTAGGCTCTCTGTATGCCGTTGCCATGCAGCAGCTTCAGCCGCAGATATTTGTGCTCGATAGATGTGAGGCCAGAAGGCTGCCACGAGGTTAGAGGGCCACACCCCACACGTGTCTCTCCTGTGTTCCTCCGTGTGTGTGTGTGTGTGTGTGTGTGTGCGCGCGCGCACGCGCGGCTCAGGTTTCTTCTCCATCTCCTGGGGGTCCTGTTCTCCTCAGCTCTGTCACTGGTGTGGACTCAGGCCCCGCTCCAGCCCTGAAGACAATCTCACCCAGTCTTTACCCCACTTACACGTGCAAAGACCCTAGTTCCAAATAAGCTCCTTCCAGCTGTCGGGTGTGGCCTGGGGTGGGGGCGGGGCGGTACTGTTTGGCCACAGCCCTTTCTGATGCTCACCACTTCCAGATGCCCCTCAGTTCCCAGTGGTGGAGCCTTCCTCCCGGTCCTCTCCGTGCCTGCCGGCTGCTCCACACAGGTGGGTGCTCAAGCTTGACTGAACCCTAGGATCCCGTGTGGGTCAGAAACACACACGTACATGCATAACATTCACACACATAGATACAGACAACACACATGCATACATAAATAACACCAGGAACACATACATGTAACACACAGGTGCACACACAAATATGTGTACAAATGCATGCATGCATATACACATACTCATATAAACAACACTAACGCACACGTGTATGAAGGCTTCCATATACTTAATATACATATGCAAATACTTACACATATGATCACATGATGTACACTCATGCACATATATACACGTATACAATACACATACACATACATACCTGAACACACATATGTACATGCATGTATACATGTACACATGAGTACTTATATATCTCCATGTACCTGTGCACACATACACACATAAATACATATATGATGTACATGTGTACACACTCAGAAACACACATTACATATATATGCACACAAAATATTTATACACATACATGTACACACATGTACACGAAAGCACACACATGCACTCTGTCTCCATTTAGGTCTGGTCTTAGAATGGAGGCTTTTAGGGAGGCTGCCTGTGTCTGAAGTAAGGCGTAGAGAACTGTGATCTTCCTCCCCCACCCCATCACTTGGTTGGCTAACTCCTGACGCAGAGGCTCTGGGTGGAGGAAGTGTCCCGGGCCTAGCAGGCCTCAGATCCCCCTGGGCACTGCCTACCACTCTCCATTATTTCCTTCTTGCCAGGGCAGGCCAGGTGTTTGCACAGCTTGTCACCAGGACTGACTGAGGAAATGAGGGGACGATGCCTTCAGAGGCTTCCCGGTGGGCTGTGAAACAAAGGTGACATCTGCAGCTGCTGGCAGCTGGTGCCTCGAGACCCTTGCAGGCCACCCATAGACCTGAGCGAGACCCACAGGGCTTCCCATCCGTAGGCCCACAGGAGAAAGCCTCACAGAGCCTCCGTCTGTGACCTGAGGGAGCCCCACGCAAGACCAGTGCATTCTCCCCAGAACCTGCAGTTTCATCTCCACAACCACATTTCAGGAAACAACTAAAGCAACTGCACACGAGGCCCTGCCCACCCGGGGCACAACACAAGTTCACTTTGTTTCTTTTGCAGTGTGGGAGGTGGGCATGGGCTTGTGTCTCTGACACACGCATTTCCACTGAGGTGTAATTAAGAGGCTGTAGGTTTCACAGAGGTGCCATTTAGCTGAGAGACTTTTGGCAATAGCAGACACCCTTGTCACCACCATCCCGACCAAGGCGTCAGGTCCCTCCCACCTCCTCAGCTGCTGCCTCTTCCCAGGCCCTTCAGGGGGGCTGTCACTGATTTGCCACCTGTCACCAAGGATGGATGTTCCCAGCTCTGCAGCTTTGTGGAATGGAATGAACACACGGGCTGTGCATTTTGGGGTCCTGCTGGTTCCCCTCCCCAGTGTTTTATTTCTGAGCCTGTTCCTGCTGCTTGGTTC